AACCAAGTTTAGTTTTGTGTTCTCCATATCTGACCTAAAAATTAAAACTTGAGTTAAAGACTAGGCTTGCCTTGGACAGCACCCACACATTTTGCTTAAAACTGACATCAACTTTTATGGGTTTAGAGAATCTCAGAGGAGCTAATTCGAGTTACTGGAGTTACTAATAAGTGGCAGAAAAACTAAAGCATGACAATCACTAAAAGGAGCAACTCCATCAAAACAAGAAAAAAAAGAGAGAGATACAAATGAAAAGGATATCAGGCAAAAGAAATCATATTAAGAGCTAACAAGAATGGCAGCTCAGGGCTAGGCATTTCATATCTAACTCTTGATGCTCATTAMAACCTTATGATTTTCATGCTATCATTACCCTGTTTTGCAGTTAAGGAACGTGACATTTAAAAAATGAGACAATATCTCCCAAAAGTCACAGGGCAGAAAGTGGCAAAGCCAGGACCTGAACTCAGCCTGTCTAGTCCCAAGTCTGGCTGTATAATCACTATCCTCAACCTTTTTTCAGTTCCCACCCTTCCCACCCACTAAAGCCATCAGAAGCAGCCATCCAAAAGCAGGTAACGTGTGGTCATACCAACTGTCCTTCCAGTTTCTCTRTATCCATATCTTCTCACATCCTTGATCTAACTGGGGCCATTTTTGCTCCTTCTTGAAACACTGAGCCCTGTTCCTGGGAGCCTACCCTTAGTTCTAATCCCATAACTCTCCAAATGATACTGTGAACCACTTAATTTTATTTTGTTCAACTCTTCTCGTCCATCAACCAGAGTCAGCTTCTCTTGTTTGCAAATAAGAGTCCCACTTAGGACCCTATCAACAATGGCACGTGCCCTTCTGTTCTTATCCTGCTTTTTCTCTACTGTACTCATCACAATTTGACCTAACTATTTATTATTCAGGTTTTTAATCCCACACTGGGATGAAAGTTCCATGAGGTCAGAATCTTTGGTTTTGTTCACTTTTATGTATTTAAAACAATGCCTGGTATACATTGTCCTTAATACAATTTGTTACATGAATGAAACATCTAACACTTATTGATCCATTTAACCCTGAAGATTATTCTGTTAGAAACCAGAACCTATGACATTCTTCCAGGATTCTATGCCTAGGGTTCCACCTCTAGTAAGCGACACTTTCCAGCTTGGTGTGGTATGATTCTAGGCAGAGATATCAGAGGAGCCCTGGTGAGATCTTTTCAGGTATGCAAATATGTCCCTCTTATCATTTCTGTAGGACACAGACTTGCCAGCTATCATCTGGGCCAATTATTACTAGTTTTATTTTGTTCAAATGAACATTTGCCCCTTTTTAAGACGTTCATATTGAATATTAGAAAAGTCAAGCCTTTACCAAAATTTTGGGAGGCCATTCTTTATATAAATGTTGTTCCCAGATCACCTCGGCCACAGCAGGAGTTGTGAGCTCAGCACCATGTCATGCTAAGGTCTTGGAGACTCTGCTTCTCAAATTACTCTCATAAAAGAGCATAAAATGTCTCCCTGTTCTCATCTGACTCACATACACCTACCAAGAACCCAAGTCACATGACCTACAGCTCTACACAGTTCTGACTCCTAACAGTCCTCAGAATGCCCGCAGCACGGAAGCTTCCATTTCATTCTTCCGAGTGTCCATTTTAACACTTGCTGTGGGGRAAAAATGCATTCCCGCATTCTGCACGCAAAAACACAGCTTCCACACAGTCCTTAAATGGCACATGATTTCAAAATATATGCTAGTGTATGATCCCTGATTGGGCTATGTACTTGAAATGTGGGATTGCTTGAAAGCATTCTTTCCAGATAGCAATGTGGTTTTTTGTTTTGTGGGGKTTTTTTTTCCCACAAATGCAAAATCATTTATCAACAATACTATCAGGAAAGGGTCCAGCAGAGCAAAAGAAAACCAAGCACTGCAGAGTGGCACTACCGGGCAGCTCAGTGGAGAGGGAGATATGGTCAGAGTCCCCTTTCCAACCCTGTGCAGAAGAAGGACCCAGCAACTGAGGCTGACTTCAAGTTGGARCTGAGCAACCCCACCCAGCGCTGGACCACATGCTGAAGAACGAAGGGAAGACCAGTGAGGGCTTTGGTGCAGATGGAGGAGCTGCCAGAGACAGCAAAGTCATTGCAGGAATGGAGAAGCAGGGACACAGCTTGCAGAGCACACCCAGCACCTACCATGTGTCCAGCTCGTCCTTTCGTTGGCGCGATAAATACCAAGTCAGCATCTCCTCTGTGCCAGGGGTTTCTGCTGGAGATGGGACTATGACAAATCGCAAGAGACCCGTGGCCCTGCCCTCGTGGAGCTTACATTCTGGGACACAGCAGCACTGAATACATATTTGTTGAATTCACCAATTGAATAAACTACTGAGCCAACGTTTCTCTTTATTCTAGTATGATTTCTTCCTCTGCCACATTACAAGGTAGAAAAGGGCCTGGGAGGGAGGGGACAGAGGGGCTGAGCAGAAAAGGGGCCACAGGAAGAGGAAGAGCGCTGGGGCCRGGAGGTCCTGGAAGCCATCAGAAAGACTTTGGACTTGATGGTCAGTGAAACCGAAGCCCACTGGAGGTTTGTGAGCAGAAGAATGATGTCATCTGTTTATATTTTTGGAAATTTATTAAATCTTTCAATCCAACTTTGACTGGAATTTATTTCTCCCACCATCTGTTCATCTTTTGTATCTACATCTCAAATAACTTTAAACTGAGAGGGAAAAGCAAAGGTGGATGAACTTATCCCCTGAGCAATATTATCTATCATGTTAAACAAATAATTCTATAACTTGACTGTTTTCATTCTGCATTAAGTTACCAAGATTTATTCTTGATGGTGAGTATAACCATAATTCATCCTTTAAGCTACTTGCAATGGTCCAGTGTATAAATACTCCACAAAATATTTATCCATTCTTCTGTTGATGGACATTTATGCTTTTTAAATTTCCCATTATAAACTGGATGTCTCAGAAAGCAGTCTTCTACATGGCTTCATTGAGTAGAGAGTCTCTGATTTCATACCCTGGTGGAAATGATTGGGTTGAAAGTGTTTGCATTCCACGACTGTGTTAGATTTTGAAAATGCTCTCCACAGTGATTCTGCAGTGGTATAGATGAGACTTCCTACTTCCCTACACCTTTATCAACTGATGAATATGAAATGATCTTTATGGTATTTGTCTGCATTTCTCTCAACACTAGTAAGGTCAAACATCCCTTAATATATATTAATAAATTACTCCCTTAATCTATTAATATGCATCCCATACGTTTATTTTTATCTTAAACTATTTTTTGCACCACTAGAAATAGCCCTACTTGATTAGATAGGTAGGTAGATAGATAGATATAGATGATATAGATATAGATATATCTCTGAAAGTATTTTTCAGAAACTTCATTTAATATTTTTCACAAATTAGATTGACTCATAGTTTGTTTCTTTTTCTAACATCAAAAAAAATGAATTATGTGGCTTTTTCTCTTCAGATAAGGATTCTCTATCATTCTAAGTCTTAATGAAATTCAGCTACAAAACCCTCTTGGCATGTTTTGGGGGGCAATAGAAATTTCTGATCCCACATAGGATGGAAGTGGGTCCCTAGTCCTCACTTCAGCTGCCACAGAAGAGTGACACCCAGGCATCTCTTGTTGGTAAGCTCCAGAAGCATGATCTCACTATCTCAGTGTAAGCTAATGAAGGGGCCTGTGATCCTCTTTCAGGAAGCTTTGCCTTCCAGAGCCCTTGACGCACAAATGAAATGACTCCACCACAGAATTCTCCTCCCCAACACAGTCCACGCTGGGAGTCAGAGAGTCCTTTAGCTGCATGGAATCTTAAGACATCAATTACTTGAAGTCTAAATGGAAGATCAACTAATGAAAAGCAGAGTGCTGGTGCCTTATTCCAGTGAATTCCTCTGCTTTCACAGAGTAAGAACCACTAGGAAATCAGGTCAGATTTTCTAAAACTAAGTGATCTTTTCTATACTTCGTCTTTTTCTTCCAACTTAAAATGTGAGTTTCCACACCTCTTGATTTCTACTCTTGAATTCCACTTTCAGTAACCTTCTTGCCACTTCTCAGCAAGCAGTACCTTGGGGCAATCCTCCTTATAAATGTTGGAAAAGAAAGACCAGAGAAAAAAACCAACTAATGTAGAGTCACCTCCTGCCCATATGCTAAGACTTAGTGATTCCATCAGGGTCTCTGGGCTACGTGGTCCTCTTTAGAAGACATTGCAAAGACCTTCATGGCAAAGGGAAGGAAATAAAGGTAATCAAAGCCTTTGGTATGTAAATCTCAGTACTGGTTGAAAGGTTCCTTTTCCTCCAATCCTGCTTTTATAAACAACGCTCTAGTGGGACTAAATCTGAGAAGCTACCACAGCTCCATGACAACTGGAATGGCCAGCCAGCCATGGAGACCATCTCCATGTGCACATCACAATCATTTACAGAGACTCCCATGTTCATTGCAGGGACAAACATTCACTTTGGCTCTCACTAAGAGCAGATGGTTAGCCAATGAGTGGGAAGTGAGATGGGAAAGAACAGTCCTGACAGACCAGGCAGCTTTGCCTTTCTCCTGGTGAAGCTGGTTCTATACTTCTATTGGTTATAGTAAAACAAGAGGATTATGCTAGTTTCTCTATGTTGTGCCACATATAAGCACTGTAAAAGTGCCCCAGGCACTGTGATTTCTATTCTTGCTATGAGATGAATGCTGTAGGTTTTCCTCAGTATTCATATCTGTGTGTACAAAATAAAGAAACAGTACGATTCTCAAACAGGATTCAAACTGCTATAGGTAATATCTTTTAACATCTTTCTTAGTTTATAATTTTAAAAAAATAAATATTTTATAAGTTATGAGGTCAAAAAGGCATAAAGGGTCAAATCTCAGGCATGGAGTCCCAGAACCCAAAGGGATGACAGTGCAAAGCAGCCCTGCACAACAGGACCCCTGCTTACTCACTTTTGAAGGTGGCATGTTTCTCTCCCACAGGGTCACACTGTTCACAATGGGCATGTAGCAAAAGAATGTCTGAAAGAGTCGAAACAAGCCATTCAGTATTGCTTTAGTAATCCTCCACTTCTGTTCCAACGATGACTTTGAGGCAAATCGGAGGAGAATGCTCCCAACAATAGCTGTTCATTCACTGAGTGCCTGAAGAGAACCATGGTGAGCCCAAAACACAGTCACCACCTTCAAGAGTCCAGAGCAAGCCACAGGTAGGAACTAAAGAATCACATAAATACATGTAAAATTTAAATGGTTACACATGTCATCATGTGTCATGTTGATACATGAAGGCAAAAGACAAAAAATTTTGAGAGTATTATAATACGATAGGATGAAATAGAATCAAACACGTACAGGGCTGGGGTTGTGGTAGAGCATGTGCCTAGCATGTGTGAGGCACTGGGTTCAATTCTCAGCAACACATAAAAAGAAATAAATGAACTAAAGATATTGTGCCCACCTACAACTAAAAATAATTAAAAAATAATAATAATTGAATGTGTACACTCTTTGCCACGTGACTTTGATGTACCTTTCATAGCCTGAGTCAATCCCAGCTCAGCCCAATACAGTCAAGTCAACCCACAGACCCGTGAACACAAGTAAGAAATGAATGCTGCTTGCTGCATGCTGGTTTGGAGCTGTTTGTTATGCACAATAAACAATATACAATACATGAGAGATGATGCCCATCCAGGTCAGGAGAGGCATCCCTGAGGACCTGCCATTTTACTTAAAATATCAAATCTTAATAAAGCTAACATCAGAACTTGTTTTCAGACTTCTGGTTTTCAGTTTGATACTTTTTACTTAGCTAGTCACAAGGCTCAAGGTCCTTGACATTTTGTTGCCTGACATTTGCTAAAATTGTGCTTCCGCCTTTGATTAGCCTAGGAAGACCAGTGCCACAGAGAGGAGGCCAGGACACAGGCAGGGGCCGGACAAACAATAGCAAGCCCRTCACCCCCTCTCTTCGAAGTGCCTGGCATCTAAAGCAGAGACAGCAGCCAAGCATCCCACAAGCAGAGATGTGAGTTCCACACCATTAGATGTCATGAAGGAGAGACAGAGAGACATTCATGGAGCCAAGGAGAATTGTTGAGAGCCGCAGCCGAAGGGGCCCCAGCAAACTTTCAGACTGCCAGCTGATGATTGGCTCACAGCGCCCCAGCAACATCTAGCTGATTGGCTCCTCTGTGGTGATGCTCATTGGGCTGTTTCCCTGCCCTTTCAGACCACGGAGCTGCTCATTGGGGGACTTTTTTGGCTCCGCCCACACGACCCAGCCAATCCGCCTCAAGAGCAGGAGGATTGTGGGAGGTGGAGAGGCTGGTGGTTTTGAGGGAGAGGCTTGTGGGAAGCCGGTGGTGGCAGTTGGGCTCTGAGGGTTTTTCCTGAGGAGCTGTTTTGTTTGGCCTGTGTGGTTCTAAAAATAAAGTTCGTTTCTTTTGACAAGTGGCTCCTGAATTGTGCCCAGCCAGACTGCGGCAGAGAATAAGTGATATTAGACATGGGGGACACAAAGGAGACTCCCAAATGGGGCAAGAAGACAATGGCTTCTCTGACACCCAAGACCAATACTGAAGGATGGTAGCAAGAAAAGGAGGAGGAGGAGGCAGGTGAAAGGTAAAATTACTAGGACCTGGAGGAAATCATTGGGGAGGGTAAAAGGTCTTCAGAGCACTGAGATGCAGGAGTAGGGGAAGCACACAATACATGCAGGCACAGGCCGGGAGTGTGAGCCACACTGATGTCCCCCGTGAAGTCAAACAGTGTGCCCCTTAAGACAGAGCATCCCTGATATCAACTCTGCCAGGCACAATCAATGGGCTTAAAGAACGCAGGGGGTCTCTGCTGAGATCCCAAAAAGAGTCGCAGAGTGTAAGAACTGGAGGGAATCTGAAGTCCCATCTGCATGTGACAGATCAAGACACCGTCCAAGGTCACACAACCACACAGTGACAAGCCAGTGCTATGCTCAGAGTCCGGACTCTGTTCCACCCCGTGACCCTCTGCTGAGATTCCAGCATATGCACGCAGCCTTCAAAATCTAGCCCCTGGTCTGATTGGGAGAGTGATCCCCTGTGCGAGGGAAGGAGAGGAATCTCATTTAGAAAGCCAGAATCACCCAGGGGGAGACAGGGACATCCCATAACCTGAATCTCRGTTCTCACCCTCAGTAGGCTCCTGGCCTCCCTCCAACTGTGCACTTTCACAGATCCAGTGTCTTCTAACAAAGGTCACCTGTGCCTGGGGTGGGCAGCGCAAAGCACTGAATCCCGCCCCTTCTAAGCTGCTCTGAATGTTTAGTTCTGTGGCCAAGTCTCAGTGCTGTGCTCAGAGTGAGCAACGTCGTCGCAGATGGCACAACCGTTTGGCTTCATTCAGAGAAACTGTGACGAAAAAACAGTGCCTCTTAAGAGTATTCGGTCCACCACCTGAACATGGTACACAGAAAGATTTCTGCTTTGTAAGCAATTAAGGCTTCATGGTAGCCAATAGCCAAGGAAATTGTCTGCATTCCTATTGTTTTGTTTTTGAAATTTTGTACAGCTTTATTGAGCTCTAATTAATTGATATACAAACACCTGCATATAGCTAATGCATACAATTTGATGAGTTTGTAGGAATCCTCAGGAGAAAAAATAATAATAATCAAAGACTGGGGTTATCTGATTCCCTGGAAAAGCTTCACCTTGAACTTTAAAATGCAGGTAAATTCTCTTTTTAAACAAAAAAGCTATTGTCATCAACAAGGGGGAAAAAAGGCTTGAAAGAATAAAGTAGCTGGGATATTCATTGTCAGTCATTAACCTGATTTTCTAATGAATATGGCATTAGGCATTCATTAACAATCATTTGTGTTTATGTTGAGCAGTGGATGTATAATGAAGGTTGGTAAATGAAAGCAAAATTAAACCAGGGAATTTTGGACACTTATAAAGCAATTAGCTTGTTTGGCAGTAATTACACATTGAAAGCTAAATCAAGTGCATTTAGAAAGCCACAAGAGTCGCCCCATAAACCTGAGGTGCTTTGCTCTAAAATAATAATAATAATAAAAGCCTCTCTTTCCTTCCAATGAAAAAGAAAGGCAAAAATGCGGTATAAACGACAAGCAAGACTCAGGTCCAATGAAAAGAAATAGAGTTACAGTCCATATGTTAGAGAAGAGGCGAGTTACCCAAAATTAGGACTGCCCAGCCAATTTAGAAAAAAAGAAGAAGAAGAAAGAAAAGAAAAACTCTTTGAAACATGATGTGAAACCAGGTAGCATACACTGAAGGGTTCAAGTTTTGCTCTGTCTGTGTTCACAGGCACACACACCAAGTTTACATACTCCAACCTCCTACCAGTTGCATGAACAAGAAAAACCTAATGTACAGTCAGGTACCTGGCRGCCACGCATCTCGGTGGCAGGCTTTTGTAACTAACAATTTGGTCTCTAAACCACAATCTTTCATTTCACTTTCAGGGACTCTGTTTTTTTAAAAGGAAGAGAACAAGGTAAATAATTTGAAAAGGATTGGAGAGAAAGCACTACTGAACACGTGATAAAGCAAAAGAAGTAAAATGCAAAACTCCTGGCAGTCACAAAATTTGTCAACAGAGATGTGACTACTCCAAAAATATATGCAAAATCCAATGAAGCTTTAGGGTGAAGAGTTAATATTTTTCAGAATTTTTAATCTTACAGTATTTAGCTGAGAGATATTAGAAAGGTGCTGTTTAAGTCTATGTGTGGGGGTTTCCTTCCAAGGGCTACAAAAACATGATTATGCTGTGGGAGAAAATCTTCAGAGGAGCCCCCAGGTCTGAGCAAAGGGACAGAGGCTTTCAAACTGGAGTCAAAGTCTCCGTTACCCTCCTCAAAAAGGTCTGAAGATTCGTGAGCCCTTCTCATCAGACAAATACCTTTGCAAATAAGGGGTTGCAAGCTCTGGAGGGTTAGTAACCAAAAGAAAAGTTCCCAGGGGGATCCACAAAGGGCAGCTGGCTTTGTGGAAACATTGGCAAAGTGCTTGGGTGTAGACTATGCTAAAAGCAAATACTTGCTTTGCCTCTGGGATTGGAAGGGAGAACAGAAACCAGGAGATAGCTTTGAAATGCTCTCTTCAGTCATGAACTGCTATCACATTTTAAAAAGCATGTTTGCCGTGATGAGGTAGTGCATTTCTTTCAAAAGATGTGGTCCCTCCTTTAAAAAAATAAATTATTTTATTTCTAAGCAGAGGTTCAAGATGTTAAACTGAGGCTCGACAAGGTGGCGCACGCCTGTAATCCCAGGGGTTTGGGAGGCTGAGGCAGGAGGATTGCAAGTTCAAAGCCAGCCTCAGCAACAGCAAGACGCTAAGCAACTAAGTGAGACTTTGTCTCTAAATAAGATGATAATACAAAATAGGGCTGGGGGTGTGGCTCAGTGGTCAAGTGCCCCTGAGTTCAATCTCCAGTACCCCAAAATTTAAAAAAAGATATTAAGCTGAAGACCTCATTTCTCACTTATTTGAACCCTTTCTGAAATATTAAGATCATCTACTTAGTTCTAATCTAAGGGGTATTTCACTTGCAGTTTTCTTGGTCAGGGAATTCCTTCCTGATTCTGATCAAGAGCTCATCAATGGACCAGTGCACTATTTGGTTCTCTTTGCAACAGTCCCGATACCTTTTCCTGAGTCTTCATGGACAAACACATTTATGCATCAGGAATTCCAGGGAGTCCACTATTCTCAAAGGCAACCGCTACTAATCCAGTGCTTTATTGTGCATTCCAGTCACCTGGGGACCAGTTCAAACACAGGTTCTAACTGAGGAGGCCTCTTGTGTTCCTTTTTTCAACAAGCCGCACACAGTGTCAGTTCCCAGACAACAAGACGCTGATCCACACCTCCTTGTGGAGTACATCCCTAATACAAGGAGACCTTCAGATCAAGACCAGGGGTTAATGAAGCCCTAGAAGTAGATCAAATCTTCTCCAATAAGAGACCT